TGATGTTCGTTCCGATGAGCGTGAATGGGGCATCAGGAACCAATCCGTTTCTCATAAACATCGTCTTCGTTAGGTTCAGCTCTCGAGAGCGGCGCTGAAGAGTTTGGGCGAGATGGTGTCGCCCTGTCGAACCCCTCTCTTGACGTCGATGATGACCTCCTTGTAGAATGGTGAGATTCTGGTCGTAAAGTTGCTGTAGAAGAATCTTGATGTACTGAGTAGGGACGCCCTGGTTGCCCAAGGCTTCGATGACCGCTTCTGTCTCCACAGAGTCGAAGGCCTTCTTCAAGTCGATGAACGTGAGACAAAGCGGCATCTTGTACTCTCGTGAAACTTCAATGAGTCTTGTAACCGTGTGGATATGGTCGATCGTGCTGAACCCTCTTCGGAACCCTGCTTGCTCGCATGGCTGTCCTTCATCTAGTATTCTGCCGATCCTGTTAAGGATGACTCGAGTGAATAGCTTGTAGATTACAGACAGCAGGCAGATTGGGCGATAGTTGCCAATGTCGTCCAAGTCTCCCTTCTTGTACAGCAACACGGTCCTGCTGGTTTTCCACGGAGTGGGTACCTTGCATTCCGACAGGTAGCGCGTGAAGAGTCGAGCCAGAGTTTTGAACTTTTCTACTACTTACATGAATTTATAAAGTTATAAAATAAGGTAATTTGAAGGCTACTATTGGAAAATGTCTTCTATCACTCCACTAAAGGAGCCATCCAATACTGTCACCTTCACCCACTGCAGTCCACGCGGTGGATTGTTTCGCTTGATTCCTTTGACATTTTTTTCGCATCCACGAGGTGAAACAATACTTTTCAGACTAGAAAAAATATATAGACCATAAAGTTTCCACATGTCGCTGACCGGAAGCGAGGTGGCTGCTAAGAGCTGTGGAATAGCAGATCCTGACGAGGGTGTCCTTGTACACGCCAAACGCGAACCAAGAGGGGTTCACCGTATAAACCTCACGGCAAATAACCATTTATACACCATTCGTCGCCGGTTTTTCACCAGATTGTGACTTATTGATGAGAAACTGGAAGGAAAGGTGTCGATTTAGGAGAAATACGGTGGTTGTCAGGGTTGGTAGGATTTCGAAACGTCCCCTTCGTTTGGCCAACACGTTCCTGAAACTCTACACGTTTTTTTTTCAAATTATAGCCGCTTGAAATTGTGTTGTTATCTTGTGCTTAAAAGAAGGTTCTCTCATAAAATCACAAAGAAAGCTGTACTCTGATGAGTGATATGAGATGCTATTTTCGTTGAAATCTCTTCGTTATCAGTGGAGGAAGAACTTTAAAACGAATCAATATAAGGTTTACTGAAGTGTTTAATGGTGTTCTCCCCCTTTCAATCCTTTTATGTATCATGAACATTCCAGAGAATCGGCATCCGATGAGGATGAGTCTACCATCTCGGCAAAGGTAGGTTGATCTTTTTCACGTATGTCATTATTTGTTCGATTTGTTTATTAATTTGCTTATTTCTTGCACTCAAATTATACGCTACGAAAAGATCAAACAAGATCACCGATTGGCGTTATTTTGATGGCAATTGATTAGACCTTATGAATTCAGTGTGTCGTTCGGCTACTTTGATTTTTACTCGTTTTTAATATTTTGACTGAAAGCTTTACCGCACTTATTCATCTCCACAGGATAGGAAAATCATTCCAATCTAGAATTTAAAAGCCAATCTCTTATTCAAATGGATCTGACACCGTAAGACTTGGAACATCTGGAAACTTAGGAAAAATCTCTTTTTCAAAATTCAATTTGCCTGCAGTTTTTCAAGATTTGTATTGCTATTGTACACTGGTGTGCAAAACTTAAGGACGAGATAGATGAAGTAACATAACTTATTGATAGCTTTGTGGACCGTTTAACGGTTCCTGTCAATTGCTTTCTGTACTGCACTGTAGCAGCTCTTTCTATGTGTGGTTAGGTTCCATAGAGTTATCTCGCCAGTAACACGTCTTTTAAAAGCTACCTTCGTCCTCAAGTTTTGCACACCAGTGTAGTATGTATGTACTTAGAAGGGAGGGGTAAGGGGAAGGGGAAGAGGGGTAATGGCCCTGCATGCTGGCTCTGTCGATTTGGGGTCAACGATACGTCTGGTTAGTTTAGACAGTAGGGGGGGGCATGTTTTTTGGTTCTGAGAAAGGCTCTTTTTCTAGCGCACATGAGAGGGAAAATTTTTGAGAACATGTAATAATTTTGGCGAATTAGTGAGATTTTGATGATCCAAAGTTTCAGCATTCTCATTCACCTCCCGCCCTCCCCTCACCTATTGCAAAGGGAACGGAAATGGTCCTCCCAGCGACGCGCTGCCAAATTGCTTATTAGTGTAATATTAGAGTTTGAAATTTCAGGTTGATTTATGTTCAAACGGTTAACAGTTAACAGCTTTACAGTTAGAGTCCCTTCCAGAAAAATTGTCTCTACCACAGCGTTCTCCATTATGCCCGTCTTCACGAGACCTTAAGCACGAAAACGTGGCATTCTGGATTTGTTTTGCATACAAAGAGTTCTGATAATATTTAATGCCGCGCTTTCATTGATTTACGAGTTTATCGTGGGATCCGAATCGGAAATACAATGTGGCCCTCATGATTGCATGTATGTATTTTTATTGCCACTGTCGCTAAGAATCCTGTCACCGTCAAATCCACATCATATTCATGAAAAGTAAAGCTGTAAGGTTGAAATTCGTATTTTCTGTTTCAGCAGCGTACTAATTATTCTTCTTAGCTATGTAATATTCCGAGAAGCCTATTCATCTACAACAGTGTATTCAGGGTTCATTTGCCGCACTATCGTCAAAGGAATGGGTAACTGTGGTGATGCTAGCATTAGCAAATCTTTGCTCAACAGTAGCGTTCAGCTGTATCGCTCCTTTTTACCCTGATGAGGTAAGTCCTCTCTCCGCTCACTATTATTTTGTTATGAAAAACGCCGAAAATTCAGCATGAGTCAGATTAACACAGTACAGGAGTTTGTATTTAGATGAACGGGGGCGGTGGTCGTAAATTCATAGCGGTAGAGAAGAAGACCGCAAAATCATATGTTTAGCGCTATATCGAAGACAAAGATAAAAAGAAGAGAAAAAGGAGTAATTATTCCTTATCGCATTGGTCCCTCCATCACGTCGTACTTGCTCCCGCATTTTGAGATCGCATTTCAATGAGTTCTGAAAGTATCACACACTCGTCCTACCTATCTTCCAATTTCCGACTCGAAAAAATATAAAAATCTGGGTATTCAAAAAAAAACATGTTGGCTGGTTACACAGTTAGAGCAATTAGTCCTTACCTTACGGATTTTATTTGTTTATTTGTTTATTTCTGGGCGCAGTGAGAGTACGCGATATTGAATAGTACTACAAAAAGAGAAACTAAAACTACTTTGCCGAAGAAAGCAACGACTAGTGAAAAGAACTCATAAAGATACATATAAAAGCAACACAATGGAAGCAACTGTAATAAATTTAGCCTAGACGATCAATCGCAGATCGATGAAGATCGTACGTATGTATCAAGAATGCTCGAGATTCTCTCTAGATGAGGAAAAAGCTAATTATGTTCAGGCTAAAAAGAAAGGCATGACTGAGTCACAGACTGGGATTGTGTTTGGTATATTTGAGCTTGTGATGTTCGTCATGGCACCGATTTTTGGAAGATACGTAAGTTTCAGAGCTTTGAAACGAATGTATTTTTATGAATGTAAAAAGATTAATAGATCGTGTTCATGGCCTATTTGTCAGCTCCTCAGCTAGATATTCCTCCTTACGATTTATGCGCGATTTTTTTCTCCATTGTCGATTGCAATTATTATCCATTTGATATGGTTTTCTGCAGTTGACCATTTGTCCAGTTCGAAAGGGATATGCCATCAGGTCACAGCGCAGCGACACGGTTATTCACGGTGTCTGGTGCGCGGTAGTAACTCAGAAGGCACCTGTTTCATTCTATCATAATATTTATTTTTCACCGGCGCTCACTCAGACGCGTGCTGTATTTTCTCCACCAACTCACATGCAAAGCGAAGGTTTTGTATTAGTTTCCACGCGATTTCTTAGCGCGCGCCACGCTACACATATTAGCGTTGTAGCGCCCAAGGCGTCAAAATAAACACTCACTCTGAGACACCATCGTGTTACCTATGTGCGCCAACGATTTTTTTTATTGTTTTCAATTTCCCATTTCTTCTCTTTTTCTATATCACCCACTCTTATTCATCATTAATTATGTGTTTAGATGACCGTTATTGGATCCAAGAACATGTTTACTCTGGGCCTTGCTATCACAGGAATAACGGCTATACTTTTCGGGTAATGTTTGCAGATTTTCTCATTCTTTGCCATATGCACTTGATATGTTGAGCGCTTGAAGATAGCCCTACAGTAAAATTGCGTAATAAGCTGGGTGTTGAAAGAGTGGTCGTTGAAGCAATATTCACTGATCGAATTTGTGGATCACAACGGTCGATTATGGAGCCGAATTAACTAAACATGAAAAAGAAATAAAGAAAGCCGTCGATAAAGCCCTGTACAAGGATTCCGTGGAAATAAGGAAGGGGCGGGGCCTGATGAGTTGTATAAACTTGCATGCTCCACGACTCAACTTACGAGGGAAGGTCATCAGGCCGGTCCGGCCATTTGCAATGAGTCGTATACCGTTGAAGTCGCCTCGAGGCGCTGAGCTCAGAACTGCCTTCCTTATCTGCTAAACGATTCTTTGAACGTAGTTATAAAGCAAGGAAGCGCAGTGGCAGTGCCCCGAACTCGCGAGCAAGAGGTCGTGGGAACGGTTCCTCGGAGAGTCTGTTTCTTTTGTGCTTCGTGAAGATGTAGCCAGAAAGCTTCTAACTTCTTAATTTATCAACTTTGCCATTAGTTCCCTGTACGAAAAAATTTCGAGCAGTTCCTTGCAGGTTTGGGCAGTAGTCGTCCATGTATGAACATGGTGCCCGTAATGCACGTGTCAGGCTTTTTCGCGGCAAACAGGCGTGATATTCGTGTTCAGGAGATCAAACTACCCTTGGAGATAAGTTTCCTACCGAATCTGAGATTTTGACCCAACCCTAAAAAATGAGGTGAGTCAACCATCATATCATCAACCTATCGTTGAACTCTTGGCATGGAAATTGCCCTTCCAACCAAGATTTTGAAAAGAGAAACGTTCAACGGCTCACATTTCCGCATAATGGAAATGATTTACATGACTCTGCATCAAAATTCAGGGAAGGTGCTTTTCCAGTTAGTTTTCGATTCATACCTTCTCTCGTTTGACTGTATGTTGACTGCCCTTTCTCGAGTGTAGGTCAAAATCTCAGATTCAGCTGGAAACTTGTAACCAGGGAAAATTCGGTCTCCTGAACACGAATATCATACTCGTTTACCGCAAAAACACCTTATCAGTGGGCTATGAGCGTCGTTTTCAGTCATGGCAAATATTAATTAAATAATAGCTTCAACCTGCGCAGGGTGCTCCTAACTCCTTACACAGGCAGGTAAAGGCAGGCATTGAGGAGATACTGTCGCTAAAAGCCTTTCTGGTCATGTTTTCAAAAAGGCAAAACAACAAACACCACGAGAGACCGATCCCATGACCTCTCGCCTACAAGCCTGGAGCGTTACCACTTACGCCACGTCAACCACGACGTGCGCCTTCCCGCTTGGCTTATAGTGGCGACTCCAATGATAGCGCTCATATACTGCGTTTAAGTACAGTGTTGAGGGGAAAACTTCCGTAACTCCGTTCAGAGCACCGTTTAGCAGATAAGAAAAGCGGTTTCTAGCTTATCGTCTCAAGACGAATGCGTAGGTATACACCTCATTGCAAATGGCCGGACCGACCTGGTGACCTTCTAGCCACGCGTATTTGAAGTAGCCGCTACGCTGTAATCCACGTGGCGTGTCATGAGATGTGCGCGACGTGACTCGTCCAAATGCTAAGCAAAAGCTGATTTTGGAAAGACCCTAGCGCCATTGCCGTGCACTTCCATGTTGCGATAACGGCAAATCAGTGACTTTCGCTCGTGGGCTACTCTATCCCATCTACCATCATCCGAGTAGAATATTCGACACGACTTCTGCTGGGAGTTTGCTTTACCACATTGGGGCGGGAGTGGTGGGGAGGGGGGGGGTTAGGGAGGTCATACTGGAATACTCAGAGGTCTGAGTCAGACCTGTATATCTTGGCCATGTTTGCCATGCACCATGCACTTTTGCTGCCCATTTCGGAAAAATCTTCTAGCTATCCTTGTTTTCTACATTCGGAATGCGATTTGTGGATTTGGATTCGAATGCATAGCACATTTAATACCTCCGAGTCTAATAATCGAACACATTACTGCTATCTATAACTACCATTACGCGGTTAAGGATTTTATTGACGAATTTTTCAAAGCTTATAGTTTCTAGCGTTGTGATTGAGTTTGATGGAATTTCAGTAAGAGCAAGGAGGTATTGTGTCAAGTGACCGCTCTTACCACACCTATACTCCGTGGGTCAAATTCCAGTGAGGTCAGCCCAACCAAGCCCTCTTCGACAGGGTTGGTTAATAGGTACCCAATTTGTCTGCGGTAAAAAGTGATTTAAACGCCCGCTGGCTCACGCAATCATAGTGTAGGCCAAATAACACTGAAATGTTACTACGTCTCTGAAGGGAATTGGAACGCGCGTTGCAACATAAGTAGGGGTTGCTCCACCCAGTTTTACCCTTGATATTACTATTTTGACATTTCTGTAATATCCCAAATAAGGTCAATCTTTAATAAAAACTCGATTTCAGGTTTCTTAATTATCTTCCATCGGGTAACATATTCTTTCTGGCTAGCCTTCTAGTTCGAATACTGGAAGCAGTTGGAGACGCGGCTTTTGTGACATCGAGCTTCGCAATCTCGGCCAAATGTTTTCCAGGCAACATTGCCGTCATAGTGGTGAGCCGTATTTTCAATGGGACTTCGACAGGACTTTTTTTTACAGCGTTTTTATGTTTCTTGTTGAAGTCCAATTAAGAATTTGTTGCTAAGGGTGTTATGGAGACGTTCGCTGGGCTTGGTTATACAGCAGGACCTGTGGTTGGTGGAATCCTGTACGAGTTCGGTGGATTTCAAGTTCCTTTTCTAGTACTTGGTGCTATTTTGATGGTGGCTACAGCTCTAGGCTGGTGGTTGATAGAGAACTACAAGGATGGTGAGTAACATTCATATTCCCTTTTTTCAATCACGAGTTTTTTTTTCAAAGTTCTTTCATGAAAATGTTACTTAAGTTTTTCGAAATCAGTTTCTTACATGATTTCGACACACTAGTGTAGGTTTAATAATATCATAATAGGATTGAAGTAAACCTGGCGTGGTGGGAGGACTTCTGAGAGACATTTTTCAAAGTCTCCATATGATTTTTGCTTTTATAACTACCATGTCTCATGTAAAAAAAACCTGGCTTGGTACCACGCTTTTTCTCAAAGGAATCCTTCACGGAAAAATCATGATTCTATTTCAGCCATAAATCACTGGCTTGAGACTCATTCATCCACGATAAGAATGAAAAGAACAGAAAAATTGCTTTGTTTTGGTAAAAAATTCGAAAAACCGAAAGGGCTGCTACGCGTTCAAAGTACCGCCGGACATCTGTCACAAATGCTGGCGACGGGAATGCTTCCCACTTGGTTCTTGGAGTGCCTTCACTAGAAACTCTTTCTGGCCTTTTGACTTATTGCATTCACATCTCACACTTCTACTCCATCCTATTCTATCGATCGATTTGTCTCTACTCTCCGAAATCGCACGCTTTAACCCGATTCTTTCATTGCGTCGCCTGATACGTAGCCGCCCCAAGGCGACTTCTTTCCATGCCCCGCCTTTGGCTCCGCCGCCTTACCTTCGATTGTCCATAGAGTGTAGTTTTTGTAAGTTTGTTTCTCTTCGGAAACCGAATCTTCATGCGTGAAATGCTGTTTCCAGTGATCACAACTGACACATTCATGTTGAGAAAGAGTGCAAGATTTTCCGCGAAGGATTCCTTCAATGACAATATCTTTAACTTTCTATTACTTTGGAACCAAATAATGGTTCTCCAAAACGATCTAGCTGGGGTATTCATTATGCTAGCATTTACCGCTAGATGTGTCTTCCCTAAAACTTAAAAATCTGCTTGAGTAGTGAGCTCTCGTCACCGAAAGGGCTACTTACACTGGGATCGCTCAGCACCTGAGGTTGTTCTTGGGCATCTATCTTCCAACCACTCCCACATGAGAACTTCGGCCAAGCAATACCGCAAAGATGTCATAACATTACGTTCGCGACGTGTGCAGTCCATATCTCGCCGTATAAGTGTCACCGGAAATGACTTGATGTCCGCCGCACGTGATAGATGTCGCGTGGTAAGCTGTTCCCAGGATAGTTCGCTGGAAATCAGGTAAGTACTCGGGAAACAGCTCATCCGACATTTTCTATCGTATGCCGCGGGCCACGTCATTTCCGATGACACGCTTGCACAGAGGTATCAGACGTATTGTATGGATGAGTCAGTTATGGTCTGTACGTATGAAGTGATCTAGATGTGAAGTTGTTAATATCATAACGGACGGTGACTCGCTCCAGCGGTTTTTAAATTCCTTAGCAATAGTATTAAGATTTCGATCGATCTTTCAGATGACGTACCCGGGTCGAAAGGAATGGTGGCTATGCTACGAATACCTGTCATCTGGATTATGGTCTATGCTGTTGTGGTGTGCGCAATTTCGCTGTCGTTCTTAGACCCGACGCTCTCCGCCCATCTTCAATCGGTGGGTACTTTGACTGAAGTTTTCTGTTGGGTGAAAATCAGCACTTTCAATTCTTCACAAAGTCTGCTTTCCATTCTATTTCCCTCAGCAGTTATGGAGCAATAAGAACGATTGGTTCTCGGATTCCCATCATTGAATGTGAGCGCAGCCCAAAACGAGCAGGGGTCATCTTCGTAGTCAACCTCCCCGTTCGCGTTTTTTTGAGAAAGTTTGCGCATCAACCCCCCCCCCCGCTCCTTTAGGATGTCCGACCTCCCAGCACCATCAGTTTTGGAAGCCCACAGTACGAACTTGCCCCCACCCCGACCGCCGACTGCCACCTTCGCCATTATAGCTTTTTCCATAGTATTTTTTCTGACACTGAGTCAGTCGACACTGGCCACAGAGGAGGGTCTTTGACCTCTTGGCGGTTTCGGTTGTAGAAAAAAATATAAGTGGAAGCGATTCCTTCCATGTCAACCGAGAGGTGTCGGAAAGTAATGTTTCAACTTGGACGTGGCTACTCGCTTGGTCAACAAGCATTACACATTGTTGCCCATTCCCAGCAGGCGCGATACGAGTGGAGGTTGCAGACTCTGTGTGGCCTAACGGTGCAGTGTATGCCCATGCATTGAAATATGCTGCTCATTCGGCTCTCTTTCAAATTACGCCAAGGAAGCGAGATGTGGCGCTTTCACCACAAGGTGTGTCGCAAAAAGCGGCACAACTGGAACACCTCGACTGGAGCATGGTTTGGCATGGCGCCTCTAAAAGCGTGGAATGCTGGCCCATACATCTGCTTGAGTCGTTGCCCGTCTAAGAGCAAAAATATATGGCCGAGCAAAGGTTCCGCGTTTGGCGTTTCCATGACGGGTAAACCGAATCCATGACCGCAATGGGGCAGCATATTCACTTGCGCACACGCTACACCGTTAGGCTAGAATTCGAACCTCCCAAAATCTTGTGTAAGGACCACCGTGGCGCAAAAACGCTGCTCCAGTCGCGCATTGGTGGGCGCGGTCGCGCTTCAGATGTTTTCGCTGAGTCTTTTTGTGTCGTAGCCTTTCAGCCAAAACGGACACGAGTGGGCAACGTTCCCTCCACCTCGAATGGTGTTGGTCGTTGCATCTTGACTCAGTCTTCTTTGAGGCGTTTTACCTTTTTTGAAGCATTTCCTCCTTATTTGAATCAATGAGATTGATGGTTTGATGAGCCCGGCTAGCCATCCTAGCAAAAAAGTAGTTTTCACGAATGTCGTTTCATTCAGATAGCATTTTTAGTTTCATCTTTCGCCTGCGATGATTGGCCTTATGTTTTTGCTCTGTGGCGGAATCTACACTCTATCGGCTCCAATATGGGGTCTACTCATCGACAGGTTTCAATGTACAACAGCTGTGATGGTGTTCGGCTCAGCAGCTACCGTATTTTCGATGGTATTAATAGGACCGTCACCGTTGTTGCCTTTTGACAAGTATGTTGCTCTTTCGTTCTCACTTGTAAGGATAATTAAAGTTTACGACCTACTACAGATCCGTTCTCGAGTCAAGTTAAGTTAGTAGCCTGCGCTTCACTGCTCACATTTTAAAGGCAAGAATCAGGATTACATTGATGGGTTGATTCCACTCAAATGTGAAAGTAGGGGTGGGAGGTGGACCGCCAGTGGAGAAAAAAGGAAAGAAAATCTGAAATACACAGGAAATACGAGCATTTTGCTCATGCTGTGGAGAAGTTCAAAAGACAGGCAGGGAGATGAGAGATAATGTGAGCGCGGAGAGGTAGAGAAGTCCGAGAAGAGAGAGCATAGCAGATCAACGCAGCGACGCAGACAAGATATCGAACGGTGGGCGGACCATGTTAAGTTTGGTGGAGTCTGTTAGAAGTCCATGGCGCCTAGGGTCCTAGTGACGCGTTTCGATGTAGAAAGGTGGCGCTACCTTTGCACTTGCGTACCCAGCACTTCTAGCCATGGTAAGGGCTTCTTAGGTGGGTCTGAGCCCGAACTTTGCCTTTAAGGAAGCCAGACTATTTTAAATAGAGGTCCCATGCCTGGCACTCCGAGATGGATCTTATGGACCAGATAAAGGCGTTCTGTTGAAAGCGTCCCGGCGACATTTTTCGATTTCTTCAAAAATGTTTGTAAATAAATTCAATGTGCTTACTAGTGGAGACTGGTATTGCAAACTTTGAAGGCCCAGACCTTCAATGTGAAGTATTTTCCCGAGCGTAGACTCAAGCGGGAGCAACAGACCACAGCGGATTTCCCAATGTATGGGTTGTGTTTGATGAAGTCAACATTATAAACATTTCTCTGTAAAGGGGTCAGGATGTGGGGAATTTTCAATAGAACTTGTGAAATTTCGCACTTTCCACCGTTTCAATAGACATTTGCTCCCCAAAGGGCTGAATGGGAATCGTAGGGGAACCCCTGTCCATAGGGAGGAAGCGGTAGGCGTCGCGCCGCGCTACTACGAGTTTTTTCCACGCTTTAGTTTACTCTAAACACAACTTGCTCTCATATGTTTCAATCGTATTTTCCCAAGTTCCGGCTTGTCGCAGTACACTTGGGGTCTACTACGTATTCCGTTCTGTTTCTGAATCTATCGATGGCTGCACAATTATTGTTTGATTACACTTGTGAGAATTTCAGGAATCTTATTGTAATCGGCATATCACTAGCTGTGCTTGGTGTTGCTGCTGGCGCTCTTTACATTCCTACGTTTCAAAGTTGTTTGGATGCTGTTAAGTGAGTTTCCCTCTTGTGACTCCCATATATCTGAACACATAGAGCCAATTAAGCGGTTTCTCAGCGATTCCTGCTGTAGCATCGGGTAGGAAACAGCTCGAGGGAATTCAGCTGACATAACCTCACCCGCCTCCCCACAACTGAGCTCTTATGATCATAACTGTCTTGTTCCTACTCCCATCCCCCTTCCATTCGTCCTACTTGGAACACGAACTCATTCCTTACTACATAACTGATTTTATCCCAAAAATGACCTCGCACAGGAAGAGGTAGAGAAAAGGGCGAACTATATAACTCAGCACCAATTCTCAGTTTTTATTCTATACTTTTTCTATGCTTACCTGCACTAGGTCGTGATGGTCGAACTGTTGCTTTGGAATCCTTTAGAGTTCTTACCTTTCATTTTCGCTTTAGCGTGATCTATCCGGTAGTAGCACATGGTTAGCTTTAGGACACTCTTTTCTAACGGTGTTTATTGAGTGACTTTAAACCTTGATGTAGCTTCTTTGTGCTATCACCGCGATGAGGATAGAGGATATCGTTCAATGCGAACTGGTCTTTTTATTTATTCCATTTATTTATCGTTATAGTTCGATATTTATTTTATTTACTCACATTCCTATGTGAGAAACGCAAGCCGTTCTAATTCCAGAGAACACGGTTACGATGATTCTTTCCGAACTTACGGTTGTGTATCGGGTGTTTTTCAATCTGCCTTTGCCCTTGGGTTTGTATTACGCTTTCCACTTGAAAAATATTTAATACGTTTTCTGACTATTGCTTTTTCAGTGGATTTATGGGTCCCACTGTGGGTGGGTTTGTGGTAGAGAAAATCGGGTTCGCATGGACTACTACGATTATCGGTGCTATACATGTTATGTTTGTGAGTTTATTTATTTCATGTGTGTCTCCATTAACAGTGTAGCGAAGGCATCGCCGGCTTTCTGGTCTGGCCTTCCGACACTGTGGTGTTCTTGTGAAGACCGGTTGATCATGCGTAGCGCATAGTTGATCTCTGCCTAAGTTCTCGCTGTACTTTCCTTTCAATCGCTGTACATTTAAATCCCAAAATTCAAACTTACTGTCAATCGCGAAGATGTGAAACTTATTGAGCTATTGAGGAAGTAGTAGCAAAGGGTGGGATGACATAAGTGGCGACGCTACCACGCTCCTAGTCCGGAGATCGAATCCCGCCAATTCCAACCAGTGACTGATACCCCCAAAGTCAATAAATTGGTCAAATGCTCGCTTCAGTATAGAAACGTTGTCGAGCATCAGCTTAACTATTCAAGAAAAGTGGAGACCAAAAGCATGATCATATCCCACAACGATTCTCAGTATGAATGAGTGGCACTTTTCTACTGGGAAGAACATAGGCATTTTAGTGCGTACTGGTGGTACGGCTTCGATCACTCAGTGGCTGCCAGAGAATTACCAAGCAGTTTCTACTTGTTTGGAATATTATGGAGCAATGGAAATCCTTTTTTGTCGTTCTTTTGTATAATGATACCTGGGTTGTGCTTGTTTAGCTCATGAGTCATCTGATCCGCACCATTTTTTTTTCGGAAAGGCAGAACTAAAAGGCGAATGTCACAGGTCTCCAAGGAAGAACAGACTGCAAATTTTTTTAGGTCCTGGTCCGCTTTTTAACACGTTGACGACAGCGTGACGCGGTAACGCGTCCCACTTTGCGCACCTCGTGGGACATTGTGACGCGGTAACGCGTCCCACCCAAGTCATCCCTTTTTCTTGCGCTTGTGCGACTTATTCCTAAGGTCTTTGTACTCATTCTATAGGTCATACATTAGCATACTTAAAAACCACATGGCTCACAGAAAGGCCAAATATTCTTTAGTTTGGCAGAGGTTTTCCAGACCTTACGGATATGTCTGTTCAGTTCATTCCTCGTTTTCTTTTCATTAACGTAAACATGTTGATAAAAAGGAATAATAGAAGCGAATACAAACCTATTCGTATGGAAGATATGTTTTACTGAAACAACCACGTCCAAATTAATTTTGGAACCACTAAAGGGAAAGTAAGTAAAATTTGCCTTTTCATGGCCTTAACACGTCATTTCGGTCGAACTTCCATTACTGTAACTCCCGATAAGTTAGACAGATCGAACATTATTGAAAACACTTCATCGCATCTAAGTATTGCGTATTTACAGCTCAAAATCCATGGATTTGGTGTGCGGCGGCGGCGCTCGCAAAATCGCTCTGGTCCCACGCGGTGCAAAAACCCAAAACGCGCGATGTCGTCAACGTGTTAAAAATAAACTCTTGCATAACATGGGAGCAGAGCATGTTAATACAAACAGTGTTCGTTTTGCTCTAAATGTTAAGGGGTTAAAAACCCAGGCGCTAAACCGTTTGACACCAGCTTTTGGTGAAAACCTATTCATATGGGTAGCTGATGGTAATAATGCATCCATAACTAGCCGCGTGTACCATTTTGAGACATCATGCAAGCGCCAATCGATAATCACCACAGGTGTCCCTGAACAAATCTTTTGTCCATTTTTGCGTAAGAAGGGCTACACAGGAAAAATGAAGCATTGTTCTGTGATCCATATCTTGACATAATACGGAAAACGGTTTTGAAAAGCGGTGCATGACCTGAATGACCTTCCTGGTGAGTGCAGCATCGCACATCTGGCAATATTTGTTGAACTTTTAAAATGCGTGTAATATTTGTAACCTTTCAAGACGTTTTTTTCAGTTGTTAACGGTGGCCATCTTCTACAGTCCGTGCTGCACGAGAACTACATCGCAACGTCGTACTTAACTGCACCTCATCAGTATTGGTATTGTATAGAGTACAGAGCTGAATAGTTAAATTGATTCACCAAATGTTCTATTGCCTTTGTCATCGTGTCCTGACTTCTACTACGCTTTACATTAATTTCACTTAACACATTGACACTCTTATCACATTCGATAAATTTGTGATAATTCAGAGTTCTTCTGCTGTAATATTCGTTCTTAATGAAGATTTTGAAGTGTTATCATGATTTGATCATAGATTGTTCTTGTACACAATTGGGAATGTGCTCCTTATCTCGAAAGTTTCGGAAGGGGAACGCTTCTATTTCGACCCTGCTTGCTTTCGGTTGTCCGTCAAAAAAGTACACAAAAAATTATACATATTGAAAGTATTATTAATATTCAATTCGTCTTGTTTATATCAATAATCCTCAAAGATAGCAGAATCTGGTTTGATTCTGAGGCAAAAGGAAGGTGGGGGGGGGGGTCAAAATGTACTCAGGACTCCCTGCTAGAGTGTGCAGCGGTCGGGGATTCCTCGACAGAATCAAAGTTGCGCAAGTCTAGGGGTGGTGTGCAGTGAGAGGGGTCGTTTTCGACATTCAGAGGAGGTGTTTTCCAACCTCTGCTCGATTCAGCCACTGGGGCTTCTGTGTAAAGTTGCCAGGAAACATGTACTTCTGAACTGCCGCAGCGCCTTAGAAAGAAAAAATAGACGGAACTCGTGTCGCTCTCCTCAATCAGTGGTCAATTCATAAGGGAAAATTTATCAAAGCTTCAACCCTTTTAATAAGGGGTGTAGTGACCACATAGCAGACCATCTTGTGTTGATTGGCTTCAACGGATGGCGCGGTGTCCAGTCCGACATCGACGACCTTTCTGAAGGAAGGTTTTTCTTCAGGCAGTAGTCTCCTGGGCGACGGAGATCAATCCATTCTGATATCGCACGTCCGGCAACATTAACACATTCACGACGACGCCCCTTTTCCACTTTTCGGTCGCGTGGGACGGACGCGATTTTGTGGGCGCCGCCGCCTCACCACATAACCGCAGATTTTGTTTTGTAAATGAACAAAAACATGAATGTCACAAAATAATTTCTGCAATGTCCAATGCGTAAAGATTATCTAAACATATAACAGTAGGATTTCGATCAGAACGACAAATAGTGGTTACGAAAAGAGAGCATTTATTCACTTTCCCCGTGAAGGAATTTAAAAGCATTTTACACTCGATTACGAGGTTTGCCCACCTATCTGTCCATTCCTAGCGCCTGGCAAGCGATTATCAGTTGGCAGCCCATATGGGCTGCCATCGTCCCAGGAGCGCATGTTGTTGGCAGCCCATATGGGCGGCCATCGGCGTGAATGTGTTAAGGAGATGTACCGCAAAGCAAATCTCACTTCCGGCTTTGATCGATTTGGGGCTTCGTAGAGGTTCTTGAATCAGAGCTCAGAAAACATGTCTCCTTTCTTCCCGAAGAAAGCAAGTAGAGTGGACGTGTTTGGCTATAAGTTACTACACATTGTGCCCTCTCCAAAGCCTACGTGGACATAATTAGAATTGCTGAAGGACCTTGTGGCATGAGATGCAAAACTTTCATATGTATGTAATAGTGTAGACATTGAATTGTCGTGACGGCATCTTTGATGCGTTGGTAAACAAGCATTTTTCAACATTTCACCTTTGACTGTGTTTTTCTTCGAACCGGAGAATACCTTTCAATGGTAGATCGTTACTATACCAGAATTTTTCCACAGGGTTCAGAATTTAATACAAAAACATTGAGTCTTCGATGTTTCGAAACCTTACCGACTGTTTCCAAACAGAGCGGAGCCTTCTCGTTTGACCTGACATTTCGGGAAAAATGTTTAAACTATTCAACTTTTTAGTTTGAAATGTGTTTTACCGGATTCCCTTGACCACAAAGTCGCACATTAGCGCCGCGCTAGGTAAAGCTTTACGATTGGAATATAACAAATTTCCCTAACAGAATCACTTTCGAACACTCCGATCCGATGTGTGCTCGGACCATTGCAGTGTATTGGTCACGTAATAATTATTTAATAATGATTATAATTTTACAGTTTATTCATAATATCAGGTTGTGAGGAAAGTTTTTGCCGTTTCAGACTTGGAAGTTCAAATGTGCATATCTCGGCTCAAACACAACGTTTTCTCTCAGTGTAAGCCATTACAATCTACTCTTCTTGGCCAATATTTTTGCTTTTGATAGATTTCTTCGCTGGAAATACTCGAGTTTTAGAGGCGATGAAGCTCGACGGAGGTCGTTTCACTATGATGTTGACTTTCGCAATTTTTCTTTTGAAGTGCTATCCAGACGGCTGAAAGTGGCAGAGAATAAGTAGAAGACTTAGTGAGCGAGAGGTATGTGGCTTAACTCAGCACTCCAGCTAATTCATTTCCTGCGAGATCGGTCCTGCGGTAGTAGGATGTTGAGGTTCATCGCAGAGAAGCAACCGCTTATTTGTTGCAGCCCATGCTGGGCGCACGTGTGTTGAGCTTTCAGAATATTTTGACATCTGAGAAGAATACTGTCCCACAACAACAGTCGTGCTTGTGCTAGAAAAGCTGCGCCTGCTGCAGATTGCGTTAAAGATAACACAACCTTCTCCTCGTGCAGTTTCATTCACCTTCCGAAGTTTGTTTATTCCTAGTCGTGATCAAGCTACTCAGCCGGAGTTCACATGTAACTGAGAAGAATCCATTCTACATTGCGCACCGAAATCCGAACGAAGAGCGGATCGTTCTCATTGAATGGGGGAGGGTAGCAGAAGAGCAGACCGCTCTATGGCACCGTTGCGGCACACCCTGTAGAGTTTCCCGGAATTTTCCACCTATTTTAGGTGAAGTGGAACCATAACATAGGTGTGCTTAGTTCAGCGGCGGTCTTCTCAACAGTTTTAAGCATATTTGGCCCTATCGAATGTTTCAGGTAAATTTTTACCCTCGTTCGATATCCAACGACTACCCACACCGCCTTTGAGGCTCTCTCCATCCCTACACAATTTCCAAACTATCGCTGCACAGCACATTTTATGTAAGCGCTAGACCACACGAATAGTTTATCAAGGGCTGGTTCCGGTTCTTCTGCCAAGTCTGAGTTGAAGAAGAGAGTGTGCGGATTCGCTTGCTGGGTGTGTGGTATTCGAAGCTTCGAAAATTGGGAGCTTTGTGCTTCCTAGAAATATGCAAAAAAAAGCAGTCTGCAAAAAATTTAGTCAGAGATAATGCTTTGAGTAAACAGCAAGAACTTTGCTTACAACCTAATACGAACAAAACTTTGTGAGCGAGTCGAGATATGCATATTTCAACTTCAGGGCCCGAAACGGCAAGAACATCCCTTTTGACCTAGTACCACAATATCATCATGATTGTTACATCATTGTTGAATTTGTAAACTGCGCAGAGAATGCTAAATGCTAAATGCTGAATCCTAAATGCTAAAGTAGGAGCAAAAGCAAAGATTTGTGCATCCGTTTCTTGTAAAGCTTCGCTTTCGCTTTTTTCTGATTTTCATTTTCATTTGCTCGCATATGATTGGAGCCTTCCAGTGAATGAGATTGCAAGAGAGAATTTTTGAGTTTCCTTTGCAGTCTTGGTGCAGTTCAGAAAAAAATTGGCATTGACAGAGACCTACCACGGCTACGGGTCGAGTACGCAGAGAAGTCACAGCTCGGTCGATACCCAACGTCCTTTGCAACAAGATCATTCCTTATCTGGGGGGTCACTACAAAATTGACGAGGCCTACTGTCGTCATAAGCAATCGGTTTCATTCCTTCCGTGTACGCTCAGTCACTGCTGTGGAAGCGCCACTGCAGCTGGGTTCTACTCTCCCCCACACTTTTGAAACTGGAACACAAATTTCTTCAAGCTCTGATATTATTGCCAACCGAAGCGTTGATGCGAGTCGCGTCAGCATGCGAGTCGCCTTGTTGGCTTAGGACCTCCAGGCCAACCATTCGTCTCACCTCCCTGTGATCTATAATTGCAACCAGACTTGTCTGGAAGGATACACATGATGCTAAATGAAGGTCGTAAGTGTGGCCCATTTCACAGACGAACGGATCAGCTTCATTCACCGTAACCTACGTGATTTGAGCCTTTTAGGCATTGGAACGATATTCGATTGAAGCGTTGATTGCAGCAAACATTCTACCTAGTGAAATTTACGCATCTGCAAGTATACTAGTGTCTAAACAGTAAGTAATAATGAGGAATAAACAAGGTTTTCAACCGGACATGGATGTAATCAGCACAAAAAGTCACTCAATGATAGCAAAATAAGCTTATGAACTTCCACTGCTTTTGCGTCGTTCAATTTCGGTTTTCTCGGTACCTGCCCAAAGAGGTGCGCCAAGCGCTTGTGATATGTGATCACCATGTGAGAAGTCGTATCGTTCGTCTAGCGGACGGCTCAGATCAATTTCACTGAAAAGAATGGAGAAGCTTCCGAAAGAAACCTGTCTAATTACCTATTTCCAGCACTTTAGCGTCAAAGTTGGTGTCGTTCGCCGGTGATCTCTCGGCGCTAATTTATTGACTTTTGGTAAATTGCACTCCTTCTGCTTCCGATTCTGAGCGATTTTTGGCGCAAGGAAAAGCATGATTTCTCTCAAGGAAGTTGAAAGATGCAAAAAGATAAAATAATATTTGGGAGCTCTTCAGGTGGGAATTTTGTGGCTAGAACCACTATGTGGGTGGATGCTTCAGCGGGGCGAAAACATTCCATCTAAGACTTTTGATTACTAGGGCAAAGAATATCAACCCTCCATGAGGCCGTCTACTGCTCTTACGCTGCTTTGTTTCTATTTATTTCTCAAACGTAGACAGAGGTTTACTTTCAGATGTTATCGTTAAACAATGAAATATACATACAAAGATGAGAAGGTTAATAATTGAAATTTCTATGAGTAGCCGCCTCCTTAGCAATGGACGCAGCTGAAACGACAGATTCTCGTGAGCCGCTGAGAGCTATAGAGTCGGAAGATCCCATAGAATGCACAGGATCACATGGATCTTCCTCGGCCACTGGAGCGCGACGTCCAGCTCCAAATCGAGCGAGAAACTGTCTTCGCATTTCCTCCTCTATATCGCCTCTCTCGTTCCTTACCCCGTTTCCTGTAACCTGCACTGGGAGGCTTGCTCTCGGCTGCATGATATGATTGGGTATTGACGAAGTATTCCCTAGCCATTCGCTCCGTAGTGTACCGTGTTGTCCCTGGGCGATGTCGATACCGTGTTGACCGTGGGCGATGTCGATTCGACCGCTCTGAAGCTGCTCGGGTGGTCCTTGTGTCAACTGTTCTTCGTCGTCTCTAGGAATTGAACTCGGTGGGTTGGCATAGGCAGACATTCCCATAAGATTCTCTGCTCTTGGTGTTCTTCCTGGGAAGAACACTGGAGAATTTCCAGGTGAATAAGAGTCTTCACCAGAGTACATAACGTGAGGATACGGTTGGTGCGGTTCTTCCTCGTCGCTGTCCTCTTCTTCGAAATATCCACTTGCTGAACGAGGCATTGGGAAGACTTCCATGTCTGCGCCCCTTTCCATAGATGGGTAATACGGCGGATACGATCCATCGAACATCTCAGTAGCTTGTACTCCAGTAGATCGCATTTGAGCGAACCGATCGTGATGATTCATAGGAACGGAGCTACCACTTTCTCCGATGACACTAAGGCGTGAGCTATCCGATTCCCTTCTCGCAGATGTTTGGCCATATGTTTGTTGAAACAAGGGATATCCATTAGCATCCACATCGCTCTCCTCCGTACCATCGTCAGGTAGCATCATGGTCCGTTGAACAGTCTCGAACATCATGTGGTCATCCTCTTGAGGACTGAATAGATCATCCATTTGCTCCCCTCCAGGTTCATCTTGACGGAAGTAGGTTGAACGGCGAAGCCGATCGAGTGGACGTTTGCTCAGCTCGTCGTCGCTCATCAGAGCCGCATCTTCTTCACTCGACGACATCTCATTACGCTCAATCTCGTGCAATTGTACGCGATCGCTGAAGGTCACGCTCTTGTGGGAAGCCAACGACATTCTCGAGGATTCGCTCATGGTAGAATTTCTCCGAGTGTCGTCAATCGGCGCGCCTCTACTTCTATGTCTCGGACGTTTTTGATGTTCTTCAACATTCAAGGCCACCGTGTTACCGCGTGGCGACGCCGATCTGGTTGACTCTGGTGATCGTCGTTTCATAGGTGGATTCGGGGTAGTAAGAGGACTACTAACGCCTTCCTGTCGAGCTACGGTGCCTTTCAAATGACCATTTGGAGATGAACGGCTGTGTGTGTCTTTTACTGGAGGTATTTTCGCAGCTGTTTTGCCAGCTTCAGGAGAAAGCTCTGCTGATCGCTGTGACTGTTTCGCGCAGTCGCTTAGCCCTTGTCTGGCCGAAGTATCGCCGTCACCAGATTTACTCAAGTCCTGTTGAGCACTTTTGCCTAATTTTTGCTCCGCAAATTTCATTTTGCCATTGCGTTGGCTCTGGTTTTGCTCAGGTGAACCTGCTGGTTGTGATACCGTACCTCTGTCTCTCGATGTTTCTGATGACCTATTTACCTGGTCTTGACCCTTCTCGGTCTTCTTCAGCTGATCTGAACACTTTTCGGCCATATTTGAGTGGGCTTTCCCTTGGACGTCATTGGTATTTGCAGTTTCGAGAACATCGTTCTGTGGAGGTGGATCAGTGCCTACTCTTTTTGAGCGTAAATCGGTCATTGCACTAGAATCACTTTCAGACATTAAAGTAGTGCTTGTATCGTTAGACTGAGGTCGATCTGTTGAAGGCTGCTGTTTATCACCGGATACGGGAGGTTTCAATCGGTTTGCTATAGCTTTCTTCAGTAGTGAATTCGTTGCTCCTCCAACGCTCTGAGACCTCGTTTCTTTCCATGCCGGTGATCGTGTCGCATCGTTCAGCGATCCTGGAAGCCATAAGATGCAAATAATTCTTATGTCAAGAACAGTTTGGGCTCTATTTAGCGTTCAATTGAAGTTTTCGTTGTTTTCATATTTCAAATTTTTTTGACATAGCGCCGGTCTCAATTTTTAGTAAATGTTGTGGTATGAAAAAGGGGCTCACGATCACATTATCTTAATTGATACCTAATGATCTGCACAAGCTCGCACGCTAAGAGATATGACTTGAGGGGAATGTTAAACTTCAGAAAGTGCAGAGTGTAGCACGGTCATGCTCTGCCACACACCGCGCGAATTTCTCATGCGCGTACTGACTGCTGGTAAGTTGCGTATCATTTTTAACTTTTCAGCTTGGAATTTGAAGTCTTTCACACTTTTGGGACGCGTGATGCCATCGAATTCTGTCACGCGCGGCGAGTAGCGAACTTGACCGGTGCGCCACGGGTACACACCCAGTACTAAGCAGAAATGACCGTTCCAAATAAATTTCTCTGTATTCGAGCCCATCTATGTTCACTCGAAATGGGTATGTGGTGTATGATCAAGATTTCACACCTCCTTTCTCATATGCACCTTGCCTCGCACATATGCAGAGTTGCCTGTGGGATGACCTGACTTAATTGCATGCGCTGCCTAATATCCCTTCTCTGTCAAGCAAACCACATCAAAACAAATCAAATTTATTAACGGAAGAACTATTAAAGAGTCATTGAAGTCATAAGGTGAGGTGATTTGAGGTGTTCAATGAATTAGCTTCCCTGAAGGCGGTCAAAGGCCTTCATCAAAGCCTTCATCATCGCGAGAATGACGTTTTGAATCACAACTGCACACCGTGTATTTTGTGGATTCGGACCAAATGCTCAGTTGACATCCCAACTTGCTCCCGCACTTTTCCAACCAAATTTGCGGGTAAACAAGAAACTCGTGCAAAACAGCCTGTTATGTTGTATTAAAGGCTTCAAAAAGGGGGAAATTGTTCAGGGTTGAAGTAATAGTAGATTAACACGGAGCGAGGAACGCGCTTTCTAGCATACTCTCGTAAGTCATCTACACTGCGTTGCAAAAATATAAATCCACCTGGAAAGTTCTTGAAAATTCGCATGATAGGGTGTTTCTGAAAAAGCCTTTGAAAGAAAAATGTGCTCAATATAAATATAATTTCGAGTGTAAACACCAACTTCCATTTCGAAAACACGAAAATTTTTTATTTTCATTTTTCAGAAAAGGGCCACTTTGCCGATTGTGCAAAAATATAAATCCACCCCATGTTTCTCGGTTGAACTTCATTGTTATTTGGCGTAACTGTCAGGTTGTTTCCACTTCCTCTTTCTTAGGTGATGACGGAAGTAACACCGCTGTCGGACTCAGAAAAAAGGCGAAATCTGCAAAAGAGTGGGGAGATTTGCCGTGCAGTCAAATCGCGCGTGATTTGAGCCCCGTTAATGTGGTTGTTAAGCATTTCGTCAAGAACTCTGCAGCATGTGGAATCCAGAAGAGCATTGAACCCTTTTCTTCGCGTTTCAGTTGCGATGACCTGCCCGTATGGGAAGTTATGGAAAAAAGTTATGGGAAAAGCAGCCGATTCTCCCAAGGGGTGCTCAGGAACTCAACCTTCAAAGAAAACCTAATTTGAGACCACTGTTCAACGGAAAATGAGTAGGACACATTTAAAAATCCGGAATCATCGCAAAAATCAAGCCAAGTTTCCCAAGATCAGTGGTCGATCTGGCCGGAGCGAGGCCATATTGGCCGCGCAGTACCTTTTGATGGCTGTCTTCACTTTTCTTACTGGTTTCCTTTTTCAATATGAGTTCCTGTCTCTGCCAAACACACTGCAGAAAAAAAACTGAGAGAAATTCAGACAGACAGTAAAAAGTAGCGTGTAGAAAGCCGAACTTAATGCAGCTGGCGCAGCATGCACACATTATGGAAGAGTTGGCTTGATTTTTGGGATGGCTTTGTGTCTTCAACTGTGCCATACTCATTTTCCGTCGAAGAGTGGTCTCAGAGTTCTTCTAACACACGCCAAACGGTGACTTTCAAGAAATTAGGTTTTTTTGAAGGTTGAGTTCCTGAGCACCCCTTGGGAGAATCGGCTGCTTTTCCCATAACACTACGGTCATCGCAACCGAAACGCGAAGAAAAGGGTTCAGTGCTCTTCTGGATTCCACATGCTGCAGGATTCTTGACGAAATGCTCAACAACCACATAAGCGGGGCTCAAATCACGCGCGGTTTGTCTGCATGGCAAATCTCCCCACTCTTTTGCAGATTTCGCCTTTTTTTCGGAGTCCGATAGCGGTGTTACTTCCGTCACCTAAGAAAGAGGAAGTGGAAACAACCTGACAGTTACGCCAAATAACAATGAAGTTCAACCGAGAAACATGGGGTGGATTTATATTTTTGCACAATCGGCAAAGTGGCCCTTTTCTGAAAAATGAAAATAAAAAATTTTCGTGTTTTCGAAATGGAAGTTGGTGTTTACACTCGAAATTATATTTATATTGAGCACATTTTTCTTTCAAAGGCTTTTTCAGAAACACCCTATCATGCGAATTTTCAAGAACTTTCCCAAATGGATTTATATTTTTGCAACGCAGTGTAGAATTGAAGCATTCAACAGTGACAAAAAAAAATCAAAAATCACAAAACTTTCCGAACAGCCCAATATTCATTCGGCTCACTTTCCTTCATCGAAGCTGTT